CAGCCAATAATACTGCAGCAGGTCATGATAATGTTACAAGGAGTGTCCCAGCAGCTAGCGGTGCTAGAAATATTTGAACCAGATTCAAAATTTAACAGTATACTGTTTCTCTTATAGCTGACAGGGACAGCAAATACTCCGCCACAAAAGAAAACAAAATTATGTAGATAGAACTTGCTCTTGACAAACTCCTACTCACCTCCTCATTATATGCTGGGAGTTCACAGGGTTTTTTTACGGTTCCTGAGTTTGCAGGCACAGAAGTCACTTCCTTCAAAGATCAGTCTTTCCCAGCTTGTACTGTGTTTAACTGACAGCCAGGTGTGTGTCGATAGGACGTTTCCAACTGCCCCTCTCAGAGAAGTTTCTGCTTCATACATTTGGAGAAAAAGGCAGGTTTGTGTGTGTTGCAGCCAAGTAATTCCTCCCTCTCTCGAACAGAAGGCTGTGAAACTCCTTCCATGTGTAACTGGCTCCCAGTGCTGCAGCTGGTACAAGTTGCTATGAAAGCCCATCCAGACCTTGAGCAGTGCTTTGGTTTCCTTCCTGCCAAGTCCTCTGTTATTTTAACAACATGGTTCTGGAGACAGCTTGTCTCAGGTGCCTGGCTTCTCTATCTGAGCATCTGTCTTACACAGCTTGTAAGAAATTACCTCTTAAGCCTCTTGCCTCTGTCAGATTTGTTCAAAATAAGCCAGGAGCTCTGAAGCTATCAGAGAAATGCAGTGGTATGACCATGTTCCCCTTGTTTCCATGGGAAACCATGCCAATAATTCCCAGATAGAGCAGGCTGGGTGACAGAACAATATATGAGCCAGTCCACCAGCTATTTTTGACATCTTGCCAGCTACAGATATTAACTCTTGAGTGAGGAACATGCCTGAATAACAGCTACAGTTTCACACAATGGTTATTTCAAGCCCAGTCACATCAGTTTACGGGGATCCACAAATATCTCAAAGAAGGTCTTTTACATGGAGTGAGAGGAACTGTGGTAAAAGGGAAGTAGGAGGGAAAGGGCAGGTGAGAGACTACTATACAGCCATTACCTCCCTTCCTAAGTCAAGACCACAGTCTTGGGTAATGAGTACTGAAGATTCATACTTTGTTCTCACAGGTGTACTCACTCAGACTCAGTTTTCCGTATTTGTGTAAATATGGGCCACTTGTTTTCAGCCATTTCTTGTTACTTGTCCCTGTTGATTCATGGGCTTGCAGTTTTTCAACTATTTGCTCTACTTGCAAAAAATCAGTTTGCTCAGCAAAGTAATCCCTATCTCATTAATTAATGGTCTTCTATCTAACACAGTCTTCCTCCTCCTCTAAGAGTCAGAACTGTTGTTACCTGTGTGAGGGAGAAGTAACCCTTACTATACCTTCAAGGCATTATACTGGCAGCTGCATTCTTATTCACAAACATGATATACGAAAGGGCAAACAATATTTATTCCAAATGCAATTTAATGTTGTGAAGTATTACATGCTTTACACAAACATTCAGTTACAGACTTCAACGGAGATGGTAAAAAAACCCCAACACCACTCCTTACATACTGAGGTTTTTAGTGGCTGTGAATTGGGCAAGTGTTTGCCATCACTGAGAGCTAAACACCCTTTCTTAAATAACCAGAAGTTTAACATTCAAGGAATGATGGATATCACACACACACACCAATACACAGAATCTACATTACGCCCAACAAACTATTGCATCCCACTAATTAAACTAAAATACTAATTGAACCTAAGGACTAGGAATCCACTCACTTCCTGCCCGCAAGGGAAGGAAGCATTCTGGGGTTTTAAAACCTGAGGGTGCATGTACATCACTTTATACTCCAACATAGTACGGCTAATTGTGCGCATCTCTATGCACCCGTACGATCAGGGCAGTGCACAAACCTCTCTGTATGCCAATCACATACTTCTTTGGGTACTAATGTTATCACAAACTGGAGCCTTAGTCCAAAGTGCAATCTGTAAAGCTGTGAATCCGGTAAAAAATGCAAGGTTATGAGTTTTTTAACTTTTTTTAAAATAAATGTGGCTTTTGTCAGAACATGTAAGTTAGTATTAACTTAATGTAAAGTGCAGTAGCTACATCTAAAAGTGGTGGGTTGCTCTTATAGTGGAGTACTTCCGACCAGTTCTACATTGGAGCTTTGAATATCAGATAGTGATCTTTGTTCACAGAATATCCCAGGAAGAGTATGAAGGCTAGAAATTAGTTAATAAAAACAGACGATTCTTGGTCTGCGCCTGCATTTATTCATCTCTGCAATACCTGAATGCACTGCTGCATGTTGTTTAAATCATAAAATTACTTCTTTCTGAGCAGTCAGACTCTGCAGAGCAGAAGACAGCAGATGGTAGCAGGTTGATCGTAGCCCTTTGAGTCAAGAGAGGTTGCTTTCAAACAAAATATTAAGTAGGAAGGCTCAAGTCATTTCAAATAGTACATTACGTCTGCAGTTACTACTTTCCCAAGCAATACTGAAAATAAATTATTTACCATAACATAATAATTTAGGAAACAATATTGAAAAATCTTACTCAAAGCAGGGCCACGTCAGACATCAGCAACCTTAGCTGGGTTCCAGCCAGCAAGCTTACCTGTAGAAGGATCTAATCATACGACTTAATACCTGAGAAGAGTTTGAAACTGAGCATTTCATAATTAGGGAGAGAGGAAGGAAAAGGAAAAAGCAGCTGTTTTCAAAGAGTAACAAACATTATAGTATAAATTTTTACAAGCAAGTTTCATACAAAAACTGTATGACACAGTGTCCAAAACCCATATTTCTCTCAGACAACTCTACTAGCAAGTGGTATAGATCTTCATTGTTCCACTGGACTGGTTTTGCTGCTTTTATGATCTGCCAGTCAATCTGACAGTAGGCTATTTACCCGCTTTGAAGTTCTCAAGACGACAAGTCGTATGTCCCACTAACAACTTTGCTTTAAGTGTAACAGCAAAGTGTAACAGCTTTAAGTGTAACACCTTAGCTCTTGTTTTCTAAGCATAAATACAAAACTTATCTGAAAGGTTTTACAATGCTTGAAAGTTAATTCAGCCAAAGTCCTTGTTAAAAGCCACTTTCCTAAAGATACTGCAGAGAGTACATTTTCATGTTGACAAAAAACAACACGAGACTTGTTAAGAAAGCATAGAAAAAACGATATTTCCTGATATAGTATTAAAAAAGGAAATATTACTTATTAATAAAACTGTACATCCAAAGTCTTAACTCACAGTTCTGGTACTAAGTGAAATGTAAGTAGACCCTATTTTCTCCAAGACTGCAGCTATTAGCAGCCTCAATCGCTAATATTTGAAAAACATGCCTGCACTTTGCATCATTTTTTAAACAGACTTAGCATAAATTGCTCACAAGAACCATAGCCATTCCTGACCCTCAACCTCAAAGTACAACCTTAAAACCAACTGGATGTAGACATCCCTTGTCTTTACAAAACAGGCTGAAAACAAACAGAAAATTTGAATCTGCTATTCTTTTGTAAGAATGCAAGACTCCATGTCACAATTCATTGCTCACTAAGACATAAGTCTTCAGCTCAGTTTTTAAGCAGTTGTCTACTTTTTTCCTAAGTATAACTAGCAGAGCACTGGACTATTGTTCAGGTCACTTTGCAATACATTGGTAAGAAGTTAACTCTCAAATTAGACATACAACTAGGCACCTACGAGTTTTTATAGTTTAATCAAATCATCAATCCATGCTGACCTATGAAGACAGGCTGAGAGAGCTGGGGCTGTTCAGCCTGGAGAAGAGAAGGCTCCGGGGTGATCTTATAGCAGCCTTCCAGTACCTAAAGGGGGCCTACAGGAAAGCTGGAGAGCGACTTTTTCTAAGGGTGTGTAGTGATAGGACAAGGGGCAATGGCTTTAAACTGAAAGAGGGCAGATTCAGATTATATCTAAAGAAGAAATTCTTCACTCAGAGGGTGATGAGGCACTGGAACAGGTTGCCCAGAGAAGCTGTGGCTGCCCCATCCCTGGAAGTGTTCAAAGCCAGGTTGGATGAGGCTTTGAGCAACCTGGTGTAGTGGAGGGTGTCCCTGCCCATGGCAGGGGGGTTGGAACTAGATGATCTTTGAGGTCCCTTCCAACCCAAACCATTCTATGATTCTATGACCTGAGCTCTTACTGAAGTTAATGTTCACATTTCTGCATGAGCTTCAAGGCCAAATTCAAGACCAAACATGTCTGCAGAGGTAGAGAGGGATTTCTGTAACATTTCTGTAAGGGGGAAATATGCAGCATACAAATGTCCAGAGGTCAGTGGAAATACAGAAAAATTCAAAACCCTTGAACTCCCAACTAGTTTCAGGGACCGAATCTTCTGTCAGCTATTCCCGCATTTACACTGCCTAACCGCACTGATCCAGTTACTCAGTAACGAACGCTTCCCACCGGTCTCCTCCTGTACTGGGGGAAGCAACCACATAATCCGTGATCCAATGGGATGTACATCCGGACTCCCTGTGTGACACGCGAGGCTGGGAGGAGCACATGCTTCAAGCACACTCTTCTGGCCACGTGCAACCACATCAGAATCAGAGCTGAGAAGGACACAGGACGGCATGCAGGCATCTCGGATTGGCTTCTTTTGCAAAGAAGGCCTTGAGCCAGAAGTTACAAAATTGAATCAAGCACCAGAGGTGACATACTGCAGAAACATCATTCTCTGACTCTTATTTGGGAAGGGCTTTTACCAAGAGAAACGCTACACTGAAAACAGTGCAAAACAGAGACAACCACAGAAGCTAGTGGTTACTTTAGTGTTCAAGAGCCTCCACCTTCCTGCTTCTTCTCTCCAGAGAGAGGAAAGAACACACTTGCCTCCTCTTTCTATGACACATGAAGTGCTGTGTATTTTAGGAAGAAGATAAAATACAACCCTATTCATTTACCATTATTTAAATACTGTCTGTGCTGAAATGTAAGTTGAAACTCCATCCCCATTCCATGGCCAACTTCATGTGATCTTCACAGGTGATTTCTTGTGTGCGCAGAGGAGGGTGACGTAGGGAACCCCAATGAACGCCCATCTTTCACTGGGCCAGAACTTTATGACTGGGCCCTGCTCAGGGATCTCCGAGGCAGCATCGAAGTAAGCAAAGCAGACACAGCCCAGGTACGCTGCGAGGCAAATCAAAATGTGCCTGTGAATAGACACCCACCCCACCACCACAAAAAAAAAAAAAAAAAAAAAGGAAAACATCAGTAACATGAATTCAGTAAAGCAATTAAATGTATCACCATGCTTTAAAATCAGTCTGTCCTTCACCTTCCTCCTCCAAGGCCCCCGTGGGGTTGCTGCCTGCCCTTTGCATGCAGGCAAAGAATACAGAGAATAAGGAAAAATACAAAACCATCAGCCAAAAGCAGCAGCTTTTTGGCCTCTCTGCACCTGACAGATTTGTGCAGAAACACTGAGATAGGGCACCTCGAGTAAGAGAGGACAATTTGGTTGGTGGTAAAAGAAAAAAGGCATCAAAGCCCTTCACTGTTCCCCCACTTCACCTTCAGTTGTTCACAGTGGAAGTTTCACCTTTCACAGTCACTGCTTCAGTTGAGCAGTGCTGTAGGATTTTTAGTAAGCAGTACGACAAGGAATTCAGATAAAATTAATGAATTTAGTGTCTGAAGAATCTCATCAGGCCAAACATTCTAAATCTGCCACCTTGGCTAGTGTGAGACTTGCTCTGGGCTATAATCTCACCAGTAATTCTATCTTGCACTAACCAGAAAGAGCCAACAGGCAGCACAGAAGGGTGATGTGGTGAAGGACGTATCACATTTGAATCAAACTGTGGGGTTTATACACAACACTTACCACACACAGTGCAAATAGGGGAAGTTAAATGAGGACCAGATCTCACAAAACGCTTTGTCACTGATCCAGCAGAAAAGTGCTAGCATCCACCAAAGACCTGAAAAGAGACCCAGTTTGTACACACGCAAGTTTTCACACCTGAGAAGAAAAATACAAAGGAGTTATTATAAAACAAAACAAAATTGGCTTTGTAATGGCAGCTTGGTGCTTTTTGGCTGTGTGTGTTTTAGGGTAGGATTCACAGTGTCAAGCAGACATCTTCAAAATGGCTCTACCACAAAAGTCTTTAACAGAGGAACTTTCTTACAGTAAATTAGGCTCCGATGCAAGGCAGTGGTGAGGTAACAAAACAAACCTTTCAATCAGTAGCTGTGATTTGGGTATTGTCTTAAATACCAACGTGCAAACAGTAGGCAAACATCAAAGCATTCCCATATCTACAGACGGGCATCTAGGACAACTAGTGATTAGTTACACACACTGTCTGGTAACAACTAGCCATCCAGCAAGTGCTCAGACTTGTTTGTATTTGTCACTATATGAAGACTGGTAAAAACCAGAACTGGATGAGGGTTTTTTTTTTTAAATGGTTAGTTCATTTTTTTCCCCCTACAAGTTAGTATTGTATGATGTAACAGTTCCAGAGAACTTCTAAGGTAGGAGCCTATAGCCAGAGGCCCCAAAGAAGCATGCTTTAGTAGATGGTGCAGGCATCCACATCTCAGACAGAATTCCTCATGTTGACTAAGCTGAACTTCTCTCCCTCACTAAGGAACATGACTTGTTCATATGGAGGTAAGCCAGAGAGAAAGAGAGCACAAAACGTTTGCTGTGGTCACATGCAGTGTGGTCTGAAGTTGACCATCTCTGAAAACAACAGCAGATGCCAAGACACTTGCACAGCTTCACCTTTATTGCAGGTCTACTCAAAAGCTCACATTTCCTCACATGATGCCTTGTTCTTTTCCACATCTTGAAACTATCTTAACAACTGTGGAGCTTTCCTCAAAAGAGTAAAATTATGAAAAAGGAGGTGTGAATATAATCTTCAGGTCCCCAAATGCTATTAGAGTCAGTAATTTGCTGTCTTCCTACACTTGCTATTTTGAGGTTAGGCGTCCTGCTGCCAGTAGATGCAGCTCTGCTGTTACTGATACCTACAAAGCAAAGCTAGACCAGGACACGACCAGACCTATGTGGCCAGGGGCAGGCATGGTTCAGATCCATTTCCCAGGGATTCAAAAACTGTGCAGTGCTCTTGGACAATTATCGCTTCAATGAACTGCTCTTCTCAGGTCACTGATCCAACCTCCCAAAGCACTCCCAAACCTACTAATCAGATGATAGAAAAATTTGTTTAAAGTGACTTGTTTGAGCTACATCTCAAGAGTAAACCAATAAGCCAAATCTGTAGTCACTATAACAAGGAATACTCAGCCTTCATCAGGGTTACAAGTCCCTGTTTTTCCTTCTATATCCTAGAAGGAAAACAAGTGAATGTCAAGCACCCCACAGTCCCTTCCTCTGTCCCAAGGTCTTCAAGAGGGGCTCCTCCAAACCACACTCATCTTCTATGCCTTACACCTCTGCCAAAAAATTACTGGCAATGTCTCCATGCCTTTTCCTCTCCAGCAGATCACCAGCCAGCCTTTCTCTCTGCTCCAATCCAGTCACCCCAGTAGACTTGACACTGAATCACCAGTTTTCCACATAATTCCTGGGCTCATTCACTGCATCTGGGAGGTGAGCAATGCCTGGCAAACAGGTCCTTTAAGGGGATATTCACCCTGTGACACTCAAAAGCAATTAAAATCTGTATCCCTGGAGGAGGTAGCTAGAGTAAGCAAATAGGTCTTTACTGGGTGCACTGCAGTAGTATTTATGGTCCCTGATCTTCTTTATGCATGCCTGTCCTTGACAGCTGACTAACACGGTGTAGCACAGACCATAAAGCTCTTTGGTCCTACTGCCTTCCACACAAAACACCTGTCAGCCTGAAACGTTGTTCTCATTTGATACGTTTACAGAGTTCTAATTTGTCCAACATTTACTGCTAATTGTCTCTATGGCCACACACAACCTACAAGCCACAGGCTACCCTGCATTCAGTGTCAGGGAAGTAGTAATGCCAGCTCTGACCCCAAGCTAAAACTTGTCACTACACTCTCCTGCCATGTGAGATGCTCTACAACTATGCTGGAGGAGGAGAGGGACAGAGAGTGATTCCTGCCTCTGTGTGGTGGAAAAAGCAGAAATGCCACTGGTACTGGAGCTTCACAAAGGGAGCCTAACTAAGCAGTCAGCAAAATTAAAAACATACACAGAGAGCTCTGTCCAGGAACACTTTTCTGAATGTATTGCAGAAGCAGCAGTATACCTGACTCTGTTGTATTGCAAGCTAAAGAATTAGTACAGTTTTCCCAGTAGGATATTTTTTTCACTCTTGAAATGCTATTTCAGTTGACATTTTAACAGGCGTTTGGGATTAAGAAACTCCTAAGGCTGAGCAGAAGACATCTTTATAGCTACTGGATTAATGACAGAAAAGCTACCAACTGCATAATCCTGTTGACAGAGGATTTCCTCCAGTGTCCTTCGCACAGGTTGGTTTTAGGATATGGCATTTCTTTTGTAAGACATCTATAAACAGTGTTGCATTCAAAATCATCACACCTATATTATTCAAAAAAGTGCCTCAACTACCAGCTGAACTGGGATCTCCTCCACAAGAAAGGTATCATAGAATCATAGAATGGTTAGGGCTGGAAGGGACCTTCAAAGGTCATCTAGTCCAACCCCCCTGCAAGGAACAGGGATATTTCATAGAATCATAGAATCATAGAA